CAGAAGGCAGAAGCAGCACGCTATATCCACACTTTACTACTTCTTAGCAATGCAAGGTTTTTCAGATGCCATGGCAAACAATATTTGGTTTGCACACACCCCGGTGTCTTAAAATACATGTGGTGAAATGCAGTCCCCCGTGGAAGGCTTGTGCGAGGGGTACGTGCCATGTAAGCTACAGCGGACACAATGATTTAGTTTCACTAATACAGCCTTCGGCAACTTTAAAATTAAAAAGATGTCTAATTCTAATGAAACTACTGCAAATTATTCAATAGCATGTTTTAAAGTCCAATATGATGTTTTAAACCGCAACAGAAAAACATTAAGGCTGATTGTGATACAGCCTCTCTTACAGAGGCCGAGCCGAACCTTAACGAAAGGCAAGAGGGACAGCAGGGCGCAGCGCTCACCTGAGCACCCTGCACCCACCTTTACTATTAACTCAGCTATGTACCTGAGTTTAACCTACCTGTAAAATAAAGCATAACTGTCTGCTGTGTGATAACAGTCTGCCTATCAAATTGGACAGAGTCATGAATTAGCCAAGTCCTGCTTTGTGAAGGACAGCATAATTACATTGCTTGAGCTCCCAGCAAGGATGAAATCTGACCCAATCACCCAATCTTGCACACAGCTTTGCAAGAACTTAGGAGCATCTTCACCATCGCACTTCAAGACAGGCTGCCTAAGCCTGTAATGAAAGGCTGCCATTAATCTGCTTCCAAAGTCAGCCGAGCCCATCAGCGGTAGAATTCTCCAGTGCTCCCCACCGTGTCATCCCAGTCCTGGAATGACCTGTGCTTGTAAATCCATCTGGCTCCTGCCTCTAACATACCACGGCAGTAGACTCCAGAGCTGGAAATGAAAAAAAATACCACAAAAAAAATTCAGGTGTATGTGTGGGAACTGAGACCGAACTCAAGTCATTCCCCTACCTACACTCAAGCTCAAAAATTCTTGGGTTCTGAGCATATAACCTTTGGGCGACAGAAGTTACCTTAGAAAGATGGGGAGGAAGAAAGCAGAAGGTGTGGGCAGTCAGCTTCCTTCATTTCCATTAAACAGCAAAGCCTGTTTAATGACACTGTTCATTATGTGGAAGAAGGAATAGGAAATGTGTCTGATAGACAAATACAAATAATTTTTCAAGGCCAATTTTCCTCTGGACAAGAGGAAGACACTGCATTGTTTTCTGCATACTGAGCACAAGCACAGCATCGCAGTGGCATTTAAATTCACAGCTTACCTTCCCCCTTGCCACTCTGAATACCTTTACCTCTGAGATGCTTTCACATGGGTGATTCAACACTGTGCACTGAAAACACACTTCGCAGGAGACCATTCCGAGAGTTAGGACAAAACAGACACAAATAATTCTGTTTTTCTGCAGAAACTAGAATTTCAACCAAATGAACACGAATAATGGCAAACTTCGTAAAAAACGACGAGAATATCATAAGTGAAACTTTGACGTTTTAGAGTTCTACTGGTACAGTAGAACTAAACCTATGCAATACACTACTTACATAGATACACATAGTATTAAACATGTGTATCCATGCACGTACGTGTATACGCTGTAGACAGTGCCGACAAGCCCAACACCTTTCACTACATGACCTGCTTTCAGTTATTCTACAACTATAACAAACTAGTCATTCACACTAAAGCCTTCTGTGATAGGTGTTTGCCTCAGGCTGGTTTTGGTGTTCAAGATTTAGCTGAAACAGTCTGGGGTTTTTTTGGTTGAGGTTTTTTTGTTTTGTGTTTGGTTGTGGTTTTTGTTTTTTAAGAAGGAACACATGGAGTAATGCTGTTTTGCCACGCTTGAAAAGAAGTCTTGCGCTGGTTTGTCGAGAAGCTTCAGCGCCTCTGTACTCAGCCTTGAAGTCTGACATAAGCCAACCTTTGTGGTGTTCCTGAAAACCCATGCAAATTTGGCCTAGATATTACCATCTGGGGAAAAAAACTTGTCTGCTCAGTTAGAGAGTTGTTGCTTCCTCACACACTTAAACTTTGAAAATTACATTCACAGTGAGAATGCTCCAGGCCATGAAAAGAAGGGACAAGTAGGACATTTTCTGCAATTTGAGCACTGCCAGTGGGCTAGCATTGGGCACCAGACCTCCAAAGCAGAAAGACTGCCTCTCATGTGCTTCAATGACCACCAGTTGGCACCAGGCAGTAAGAAGAAACAGCTCACATGTCGACAGGACGGGAAGCAGTCTGAAAACAAGAGTCCTTCTGGCATAGTTTCTGTGTGCAACACCTGTATATATTTTACATGCACATATATACATTCATATACAGTAAATAGTTCAAGAAATACATCACATCAGTTCTTTGACACAGCACTGATGTTTCTCTTACTAGTCTGAACTGGAACTTGCTCGCAGAAGTATTACGGAGAGCTGACGTGACTCTAGGTTTAGCTCTCACAGCTCTGTCTTTGATGAGCCCAAAATGCTGAATTCAAATATTAACTTAGTGTGGATTCAAATCAAGTCATCATTCAGGCACATGTCCCCCTGAAACCTATTAGCCACAGCAGATTAACCCATACAGGCTTGAAAAAGTAAATGCCTTCCTGCCCATACCAAATACTGGAGCAGTCACACTTCTCTTTCAGCAATGTGGTTGACCAGAGAATCGCTTTGACCTGCTGTCCTCTCGAGAAGAGTTCTGTGGCCATCCGTGCTGTCGGGGATGTCTCTTGTCCAACTGCTGGCTGTCCCCACAGGGCTTCCTGCCATGGGGGTGTCTGCGCTCACCAAGCTTCCCGTCCGAGATCGGTAAGGAGGAAGATCTGGCTGATTAGGGGATTCAGATTCAGAACAATAAGGCGGTGGAGGAAGGTCAAACCAAGGTGGTCTGCTGTGAAACACAACAGTAAGAGGTTACTAAAAACAGTGGTACGGAAGAAAGCACGTAGTTTTCCAATTATGAAAAAAACAAACAGTATTTCTCAGCTTTTCCATGATGACACCTTTCAGGAGATCTCAAACAGACCTGCCTACATTATTCAGGTAATTCCAAAACATCCACACCACCACTGGGCACCAAGGTTTCTGATCAAGATGCAACATAGCTAATTACACCCTGCTTAACACTCTACACTCCGATTTTCATGGGTATGTACTTCCACAAATCTCAGCTTACCCTCAAAGACAGCTGCAAGAGGTAAGAATTTTTCCTGTATAACATTTACACAACCTGAGAAAGTGCTTTAAAAGAAATAACGTGAATAGTGGATTTACACCTACAGATAATGATGTGAACACAAGAAAGCTCTGAGGAAACCTCCATTAAGTGACGAGATTAATGGCTTACGGTCTACAAATAAATAATGAACTGATTTCTCCACACAACAAATCATGCTGTCATGATATCACATGCAGAGCAACTGCTAAGTAGGCATAGACAAGATGAGTATTGGATTCAAGAACACTGTTTTTTGGTTCTGATAGCAAACAAGTAAAGGGACTGAAGAGTTTAGCAGATTGATAACAGGTCCTGGGAGCAATTAGCTCTGAAATTGCTGATGGTTTATCAGCCCAGGTGAGAAGTGATTACAATCTGGACAGCTGCTCATTTAGTTGTCCTTACTAATGAAAAGATATCATTATTATGAATGTCAACATTAAGACAAGGGAGCTGCTGTCAAACGCAGCAGAGAATAGGAATGTAAATTGTATCATTCTCAGATCCCAGAATTTGTATTAAAAAATACCGACAGGGTGACAGTGAACAATCTGGATCATTAAAGTTCATACCATGCCCTTTTTATGTGCAGAGGATGTCAGTCTAGGAGTTTTGTTTGGAAAGACTTTACAGACAGAGGTTAAAATGCAGGTTAATTATCTACAAATAAAACCAGTGTCATAACTACAAAAACATAACCCAAACCACACCCACCCACAAAACTGCAAAGCACTTTCAGCTATTTAAAAGGAGAACAGCACTTTCCATTTCAGAGTCCTGTTCTTTTCTTTTATTGGTAAAGGGAAAGCAGTTGCAGAGCAGAGGGACTTTATGCAAGAATTTAAGACCTCTTACCTTTATATACTTATCACATATGACCAGGGTAAGTTTTTTTTTTTAAATAGTATGACCTACAACCTAGCTGGTTTTTGGCAAAACTCCAAATTCAATTTTCATGTTTTGATTCCAGACTCGTACAGGATATCACTACTAGACAAGTGATACATTTCTTTGCATTCTCCTGCCACCCTCAAAATCTCTACCACCAACGACACGTGCTAAGAGAGCATGACTTAAGTTTGCCTTAAACCCCTTTAATACCAGTAACAGTAAGGGGACCTGAGGACCATGAATTTTTCGTACGCAGAAGGAGCTCAAATTTGCCCAAATTTGGCCCTATGCACGTGACAGAATTTCAAGCTGTACTTCTGTCAAAAGCAGTAAAAAGGATAAATGGGGAGCAGAAGCACAGTAACTGAGCTGCAACCAGTAGCGTGAAACTTTGGTGAGCACAGAATTAGCTCCTGTACATACCTTTGGTCAAGCACAGCCTCTGAATAGGATGGCGGAGAGTCCAGGTCCACTGGCCTGTGGTAGGCCTGGTTGGACATGTACTGGATCCCATTGTTGACGTTGTAGGTGACGCTGCAGTGGTGTGGGTGATCGAGGACCACCAGCCGGGACAGCAGGACAGGGTGCTGCAGCCGATGCACCGGCAGGGTCATGAGATTGTTGCGTTTCCGTTGGTGGTGCAGGACTAAGGCGAGAAAGGCCACCACGAGTACGAAGATGACAGAGCTTCCGATGATAGCATAGGTAATACTAGGGTAGTAAAGCAGCTGATTTTCTGAGGTCACGTAATCTTGGCCGCTGCCTGCCTCTGCAAGACAAAAGGAACAGGAAGCCTGAGATTTGTTTCAATATAAAACTGCTCTTAACCTAAGCTGTGTTTTCCGCTAATGCATTGTGTGACAAAAGCAAGTTTTCCTTTTTTCTTTGGATTGTGGAAAATCAGCTCTCTAAAAGCATATGCATGCAAATCAGAGATTGGCTGCCTATCGCTCAGTCCATCCTCACCTGCAATAAGTGCCAGCAGATAAACTACTAGGGAGAGACAAACTGAGAAAGAGGAAAATACACACCGGAGTAGGAAGCATGTGCACTTCCATGGGAGTATTCCCCCCCGCCCCCCCACCCTATCAGTCGTAACTTTTTGTTTCCAGAGGTGAGACACCCAGTTCCAAGGCATAAGCACAGTACCTCAGCTGTACCCAGCAAAACACACTAGAATCAAAGATGTAAAAGGCCTCATCTTTACTTTTAATGGTAACCTGCAGTGCAGTCAAAGTTTACACGGAGTTTATCAAAAAAGGCAGCAACTACATCCTGTCCTCCACAGATCTAACAGTCCAAAATAAGTATGGGAGAAAATATAGATAGCTGCTCCGTAAAGGGTGGTTATTTGGATGTTTGTGATCAGAAGACGTCCTGCTGGAAAAAATTCAAAAGAAGAAAGGGTGTTGGAACAGCAAAACTAGCTATGTAAGCCTGGTAGACGTGATAACAGCAAGAGATGTGAAAGTCTAAAAGCAAAGGCTGCAGTGAAAGAAGTGAATGGTAAAAACAAAACAAAACTCCCAAACCAAACAAAAAAACAGGTTAGGATAGAACAAGATGAGGAAAAGAAAAACATGAGCTGCGCTGAGGCCATGAAAGATCACACAAGTGAGCTTCAGTTTGAGATGGAAATGGTGAAGGGAATGGTTGGAAATGGTACCTGAGTGGCAGGGAGCGGGAGCAGAAGCACGACCCTAAACAGTGGTATTAGAGGGATTTTGAGAAGAGATGAGAAGACCAGATCAGAAGAGGTACTTCAGATAGCATATAGTATATGTTTTATTTGCAGAAGGCACTGTGGCATCGGCAAAGTTACCGAGAATTGTAAGAGAAGTTACAGTTGGAGTTGGAGAAGTTACAGTTCGCAGTCATGATACAGCAGAAGGAATTCCCGCCCGGGCTCTGGGCCCAGAGAAGCGAAAAGGAACGGAATAACAGAATGACAACTTTGGACATCTGAATGGATCTTGAACTGCATGCAAATCTTATAAGAAAACACAATAAAAAGCAACAAAATGCAAAGGAAGAAAGAGGCTCAGAGAAGCAAGATGGCATAAACACACTGATGCGACTCTGCCGCACTCGAGGCCAGTGCCAGCCCCACAGAACCGTGTTCCCCGACTCCATTTCAGCCCCCTGTTCACAAGGTCATGCAGTCTTTGAGCACTGTTTTCTTTTTTGGGGGAGAATTTCTATTTCTGTGCAGGCTGTAACTCCTTATAGCCTGAAAAAGAAAAATACTATTCTGACACAAGACATTCATCTACCTCAAGAAAAACGAGAGGCTGAGTAAAAAACAAACAAAACAAACCCAACCCCTTGACCCTCAAAATCCAGACAATTACGAGAGGACTATCCATCCCAATTCTTCATTTCCTACTGCAGAAGGCTGGGACAGTAAATCTTAACACACGATTTCCCTTTCTTTCGCCTATCAACTAAAACTGCTTTTTGGTCACTCAGAATTGCAACTGAGCCCCCTACAAATTTCTCTAGCAACAAAATAATGAAATATAATACCGACTGTGTCCGGCACAAATAAAGGAGCTTTCCTCAAGTACCCATTGTTCTGCAGCAAGATGCTTTGGGTATTTCTCTCAATATTTGATTTTGGTAGTTCACTTCCAAACACCAAACCACATTTTCCAGCATCACTAAAAATAACTTATGCATTAGTTAGTAAGATAATACAACATAAAATGGCTAATCCTTTAAACATCTCCATTTTAAATCATAGATATTTTAGTAAGAAGGAATGAAATGGGAAAGACAGACTGTACCAGAACTAACAGAACATGATTATTGGTCCTGTTTCTGACTACAAAAACTACCACTCTTAAATAGATCTGTTTTACTGATGATGCCACTACAACCACAGACCAGAGGTTTGCAGGCCAGCTGCAAGCCACACAGTTTTCTTGATACCTAGTGACACACCTCAGCAAGGATCCTTATTAAATTTATTTCCCCATGCAACTGTGCTGGAGAGAATGCAGAAGTCATCGTTACCAGTCAACACGAGGTCTCTGGCTCACTCAGCAAAGTGAACAACGTCTGCGTGAAGAATGTAAATCAAAGCAGAAGGGAGGAAAGGAATTTACATGCATTAGTAATTTTAATTACAACTCACCACATACTGCTGTGGCTTCTTTAACACACTCCCTAAATTCACCAGCTGAGAAACGAATTCATGTCACATATCACGGACAAGGGCCAGCATAGGGAGTATAGTGACAAGCAGATCATTTTTATGCAAACACTGACAAGTTATTTGCAGGGAATGATCCATGGGTGAACACCGCTACCTGCAATTCTTCAGTGCAAGGAAGGTAAGTATATTATGACATCCCAGTAAAATACCACAAGACTTTCATTCAACTTGGCTCACTGGTTACAGGACATTGGCATAAGACTGAGAACAGGATGCCTTTGCAGACCTGATGAGACCTAATTAGTTACCATGGGATCGTTCTGCAGCAGCACAGTCCCTCCTCTTTATAATCCCCATCTTATTAAAAGGGAAGAAAAGCAAGAGAAGTGAATTAAACATCAACTTCTTTTCAAAACTTTTAAGGTTATCTATCTGTTTAAGATCGCACCTTCTAGGTCCTGCACGAAAAGCCTCCATAAATCCAAACAGATTAACCAGATTGCTGAAGAAAAAATATTTTGTCAAAAGTCAGATGGGATCTGATGACCAGCTTTAGGACAGTCCAAAACAAAAAATATATTTTATCTGGTTTTATGATCCTTTTCATACAACAACCACCCACATATCTTGCAGAGATTTTGGGTAAATTTGCAGTTAACATGCTGTTTTGGAGCTTTGGGATTACTGTGGCTATTGAACATCATTTGTTAACCAGTAACCCTCTATTCCTTTTCAGGTTTTTAGACCTGTTGCTTATATTTCCATTTAGTTCACTGTATCTCTGAGAGCAAGAGCAATCTAAGGGCACATCTACACTAGGGACTACAGGTCTGTGCAGAGATCTCTGAACAAAAAGTATAGCCGTGAAGGTGCTGTTTTGAATAGTGCTATCTGGTGCAGCCTTTGAACCGTCCAACACAGCAACATTGCTTTTGGGATCTGAATTAGCATCTCCATCAGTTCAGCTAGTTCTAGCCTGTGTCCCTCTAACATGGAGCTGCACTGAGGAGTACAGATATATCCTGCGAAGAGGAAAGAATCTGGTTTCTCTCTCAAGCGCTTTCTTGTGCCTTGGGCAGTGCTGAGTGCTTTGCATGGAGACACTCTCTCTCCCCTCGCAAAGAATCCAGCTCCCTAAACATGCAGAGTCTTTATACCTTTACAGGAACAGACATAGAGCGCACCATAGCTCTGAGATGGAGTTCTGCCTCGGAAGATTCAGCTACCATCGAAACAAAGTCGTCTTCTACCACCGTAACAACCTTATTCTTGCCTTAGGCGGGTTTTCTGGGCCAAGACGACACAATCTTAAGGCCCCTTAGCAAAACACGCTCACAAGTGAAGTCCAGCGGTATTTTGCTTCTGCTGCGGTGTAGTTTAAACCAGGAAAGACCAACCTGCATCTAACCTCCCTTTTCTAGCAAAGTCAGTAAATCCAAACCTGCAAAAGATGCAAGTAATGTTACCAGAGCCTGTCAGCGCTGCTTGGCTTGTAGCGCTGGAGAGGGCACTTCCCACTCAACGAAAAGAAATGAACTGCCCTTAATGGTCTTCCAAAATAATGCTCCGGCACGAAAACTGCTCTATAGCACAGTTAAAACAAAAGTAGAACTATGAGACAGTTTTGCATACAAGAGACATCAAGTTTTTTCTTCGTCTTACTATATAACTGATTATGTTGAAATGAATAACCTCTTGGCAATTCCTTGATAACATTCTGGTTTTTTGTAGAGCCAGGTGAGTATACAGAGGTGTGGAAGGGAATGTTAGGTACCTAGCTGAGACTGCCCGATGAACCTCTATCCATTTTGTGCACATTGTAATAGGGAGAAGGTGAGATGTAAGAACACCTGAAAAATCTTAGCTGGACACGCACAACTACTTTAGAAAGAAAAAGCCATGACTCTTTAGTTCTGCTCTAGTAACTTTCAGCAAATGTTTACACATCACAGAAGTCATTGAACTGAATTTCTTGATAATTCACTCATCTTCTCCCAGAAGAAGCAGGTATTATCCAGGCAGGTTTAAAAAGTTGTCTGCTCTGCTATTAAATGCAAATTCACAAAACAGGTGAGTGGGCAAGCTAATTTATCTTAAATTCATGGAGTATTTATTCTTTTGTGCTCCCCCTGCCCCTTTAAGAAGATCTATGTTTTCTAATCACGCCACATATAAACAGTTTATCAATGCCACTTATGCTTACTAAATGTTATTATCTGGGAAATGCTGAATTCGCAGATTAGAGATTTTTGGAGTGTAAAAAGCTTTGTGAATAATTTAGGAAAAGACTGATAAAGGAAACATAACACGTTGTGCTCAGAAGGCTGTCTTATTGACTGTGAACAAATTTGCTGTCTCAAAGTTTTTAAAAAGATCTGAGAGTAACTGCATTAAGTCTGCCAGACACAGGGATGAGGGGCTATTATTTTATCTTTCGCAATCCTCTGCTCAAGCCTGGCTTTTCACAGTTCATCAGAGAAAAAGCTTTTGAAATACATAATCTAAGCAGACATCTGTAGCCTTAATGAGCTCGAGTCACGGTCCATCTCCAACAAAGACACTACTGTAACAACACATTTAAATTCCAACTGGTTAAAGAGCAAAGCTGCAGC